TTGGAATCACTAGATTGGTCTTTAATAACTGCGGCAGAATCTTGGATAAGGTCATGTTGAGCTGGGTGAATTTCCTTTGAGGCCTCTCGGCTTTTTGTTGATTGTTTTGCTGAGGAGCACCAGCAGGTCTTGAAATAACAACTGCATTAACAGCTTGGCGGCGTTCAGGTCTATTCTGGTTTTTCGAACTGTAGACAACACTGGACTCCTTCTTAAAATGTTTTTTCTCGGTGCTTGATGAAGCACCCTTTTGTATCTTACCAGCCTTAATACCAGCCTCAATCCTCTCACCGATTATAATTAGCTCTGTAAACCCAGACGAAGAGCTTCTAATCAGGTGGTTGAAAAATGGACCCGACAAGGTCCCCAGAAACATGTCCACAAGCTCCCGATTAGCCAAGGGTGGTTGCACTCTTCCGGAGAGGTCCCTCTACTTCTGAGCATAATCTTTGAAACCTTCACCTGCAACCATTGACATACCCTGGAGTTGGGTACGCGTGGGAGCAAGGTCGGAATTGTATTGGTACTGCCTGTAGAAAGCAGTAGCCAAATCTTCCCAATTGCGGATACTGGCTCCGTCCAACTGGTAAAACCATTCAAGTTGAGTCCCTGAGAGACTGTCTTGAAAGAAATAGATCCATAGGTTCTTATCAGCGGTGTACGGCTGAATCTTCCTTACATATGACCGGAGGTGCAGCTTCGGACAAGAAACTCCGTCATACTTAGCAAAGGCTGGTGCCTTGAACTTATGGGGAATTACCACCCCAAATGATAGACCTAGATCACCAAAGTCCAAACCAGGCACTTTCTGAACTTCCATCGCACTCAACCGGTCTTGTAATTGTTTGTATCTATCCTCCGCCGGAGGATACTGGTCTTCGTCGAAGTCCGTCTCGTTGTCTGAGACCATAGGGCTAGGAGCCCTTTTTTCCTCTTGTCTGTCTTTCCCTCCAGATGAGGTGGTCAAATCAACTTCATCCCATAGTCTGTTTCCAAACCTATGACCTGTGTTAAACAGGACTATCCTCTTCTTCTTCTTCTTCTTCTTCTCTTTCAGAATCAGGGTCTTCAGATCTTGCTGACCCTTAGCTAGATTCATGAACAACTCTTGGAATTGGGCATTCTGGGCCTGTAGGGCCTTGATTGCTTGCTCAGTTGATGGTTCAGCAGACATGATGAGTGCTGAAATAAACAGCGAAGAAGATAAGAGACCTGTAATAGGTACCTGTTATGAAGTGCATGGGATGAAATGCGTATGATATGATTTCAAAGACAATCGAGAGATTCAAATTTGTAAACAAGAAATGAAACACACTTTTATTAGATAAACTTTGAAATTCAAATTTGTTCAACAAATTGCCCTTAAGGCGTTACAAGAATGGAAATACTGAAAAAGTAAATAGAACTGGAAAGGAAATAAACAAAGGACAATCAGTGCTCCCATGGTCTCTTCTTGTCGGTGCGGACATAGTCATTGAGAATCCGCTCATTCTCCAGCTGCCTAGTCAACTTCTGGATCTTCTGCTCTTGTTCGTTAAACTTTTCTCGGTAAGCGTCTCGTTCTTCTCTCAGCTGCATCCAAGACCTTTTCAGTGCCCCAATGTCAGTGGACATGTAAGGATGGAGGATGGTCGGAAGAACCCCTTCTTCATTAGCAACTTCAACAATGATAGGAAGGACGACTTCATATGGCATGCCCAACTTTTGGGCACGGATACGGACCCATATGAGATATGGCTCCATCGGAAGGGAAGTCTTTGGACCCAGCTCATGTGGATCAGATTTGTGAACTCTATCCCAAGCCCTTATGAATCTGCGGCGTTGCTCGTCGCTATCCCCTTGAAAATCAAAGATGATACTAGGCATTAGCAGCTCATGAGGTCCTTCTCTTCTGGCTTGTCCAAACTGACGTAAGGCTAAGCACGGATTGTAAGTAATTCCTCCATGGGTTCCTATCAGTGGAACATTGGGGTATTCCCCACATCGATCAATAATAGCCACCTCATCCATACCCTTGATAGTCCAGATGATGTCATTATGAGAAAGAGACATAACCCTATAAGTCTAGCCCATGCCTTCTTTGTTCTTCAGCACTGATTTGGGGAGGTGCGAAATAAACCACCTCGCCAATAACGGAGCACAACACATCAAGGTTCCCCGCTTTCGGGAAGTACCGGCATAAAGCTGATGAAGAATGTCACCCAAAAGAGTGGGTACAGGATTATGAGAGATGAAGATTTTCACCACATTCACATCAACAAAGGAGTCAGGATTCAGAAACAATACCAAGCCATATATCAGAAGAGCCAGAATATCTTCGAATGCCTTGAAGTCTAGACTATCCCAGAAATAATTAGCTTTACCAACCAAGAACTTAGTCAGAAAGCCCTTTGCTCAACTTCTAGTCTCCTAATTAGCCATTACCTCATCCTTTGTCATATGAAGGGCTGAAGCAATCTCTTATGGCCTAAGGATCTTCTCTCAACCAGTAAACGGGGTCTTCTCCAAAATAGAGATATCGAGCAGATCATAGAACTCTTCTAAGGTGGGAACAACCTGGTAGTCCTGAAAAGTAAAGCAATGGTACAACGAATCATAAAATTAGACCAGGACACTCATCATCTGCTCGTCCAATTTGGAGGTGACCAAACTGAGAAGGTACCCATGTCTTCTGATGAAGGAGGTAGTATCAGGCATCTTTACAATCAATTCTTTAAGCATAGTGGGAATCTGGACAAAATTGATCCGGATGGTATTCCTACGCATGGACATCATGACCTACAAAACAGAACAAAGATGAATCCCTCCTGTCTTTGAAATAGGTTAGTCCAATGCAAGATGTATGCAATGTTATGATGTCATGATGTCATGATAGATAGCATACCACAAGTATCCACAAATAGCAAACATGGTAAAGGCACACAAGTCACACAGAGAGCCCTTAGATTTTAGGCTGGCAAGGAGCTTAGGTACTACCCTCTTTCAGTTCAGTTGGTTTAAACCTGTCCTAAAAATAATAACCGGGTTCTAGAGGATCTCAATATCACTGACTACCCTCAATCGGTCATAATTCCAGTTTAGCAACCTTTTCTTGCAGCCGGAATCATCGCGAGAGTTCAGTGTCAATGAGTGTAGCATACTGCTACTGTTCTATGGCCAAGTTGGTCAATTTAAAGGTTCTAAGGTCAGTTGGTGCTTAATGACCCCTTAGATGACCCATATTCTCCTCGTTCCAACACAAGGGATATCAGTACAATCTAAAGTGTCACATCAACGTAGCTACTGCTTCAACCGTATCGGTCTACGCTGTACAGTTCCCTCACAGTTTATTGCTACTTACCTAAAGGGTATCCCCCAGATCCAGGTTAGGATCTATAGTAACTCGGATACAAGCCCACAAATATAAATCATGCAAGTCAAACAATTGAAAACACAATGAACTTATTCCTAAGGTACACCCCACTTATTAAGAGTCCCCAGCAAAGTCGCCAGTTCTGTGATACAGTGGGAGAGAACTGACTGTTTTTGGAATGCTGGTTTGCGTTTTGCGTTTGTTTTTGCAAAATGTCGTGGTAAGTAAGAGTCGCCACCGACTTTTATTTTATCCAACAAGGAAAGGAAAAAAGCACAGAAAAATTCCTTTTTCGAGATGTTTCTCGGGTCCGGGGGGTAGATTATATAAAGAGAAGGTGTTAGCACCCTTTCTATCCGTGATTATCCACGGGCTCTTAGGTACTTGCTCATAATGTTTTCAAAAATTTTCTTTTCTTTGTGTTTGTGGGTTTGAAAAGAGTTTTTTATTTGAAAGGTGTAAGTGCGAAAAGTTTTTGTTTTATTTTGAAAGAGCAAGTACTTAAGAACCATCTACCTACTCGAAAAAGGAATCAATCTGTACTAATGTCCTTTAGACAATGCTATCCCACTATTGATGAGTAGGTAGCATCGTCGTTGGAGTTTAAGGGTCAATTCGATTAAGGGACGTGCGGTCACTAAAGCAATGTTAGGACGCCTTAGCGGTAACCCTAATGTCTTAGATCATTTTTCCGAGGCAACCGTTTCGAGGCAACTATGATCTTTGGACAAGAGGGCGACCTCTAAAACTTTCTATACTCAATGACCGCGTTCGAAGGAAACCAAGTGAGGTGTACCCTAAGAGTGGGCATCTGTGAGTGTATTGTTTTCAGTTAATTTTGTCTTTGTACATGTCAATGGTTATCTATGTTGATTTTATGTTAAACATTCGATCTTGTCATGCATTCCCTATTATCAAACATCTAACTGTTTATAAGTTGCGGAAATTAAATTGCGGAAATTAAACTAACTATTATAAGGCGTCGGATATTTACATCGCCAAAAGCAACCCTTGAAATTAAAATGCGGAAAATAAATAAAGCGATAAAAATATTTAAAGTCCTATTAAGCTTAGGGATGGCAACGGGGTGGGTCGGGGGCGGGTTTAGCTAACCCCGCACCCGCACCCGCAACTCCAGTAATAGACCCGCCCCCGCCCCCAAACCCGCTGGGGGATGGAAATTCACCCCCAGACCCGCCCCCAATGGAGAACGGGTCACCCGCACCCGCCCCCACCCGCGAAAACTGTTTTTTTTAAATAAAAAAATATCTATTTTTTTCACAAATTTCCTGGACAGCATTAACAAATACATTAAAAATACAAAATTCGCCATTGATTTGAGTAAATAATTGTAGGATTTAATATTCAAACACCATTCCAAATATTTTTCTATCATAACCCTTCAATCAACTATAATTGGTTGTGAACTTGTGATTCATTAAAAGAGTGTAATCTTTCAATATATCAAAGTATAAATCACTCCCAACAACCAACAATTTTTTTGCAAAGTACAAATACAAAATTAAAACAATACAATCAACAAAAGAACCATTCCAACAACATGGAACAAAATAACCATTCCAACAACATGGAACAAAATATACGATATCATCATAACAAAAAAAGATCCAAATAAACAACAAATTTTCTAATAATCTTCATCTTCGAGGCGGGAGTTGGAAATAGAAGTAGCACCATCAATCAACAACTCACCTGTGTTAAAAAATAAAAGTTAAAATATAAAAATTTAACTTGACAAATTTAATACAAATAGTATGAATAATACCTTCATCATCAGACTCCATTTCAGTTAGTAAAATAGCATTTTCATTTCCCACGTTAGATTTCAAATTACCTATCAATATAGTAAAATATAGTCAATGATAGTCTTGGCAAGTAAAAATAAAAAATATAAACAAGAAAGATCTTTACCATTATTCTCAGCACTCCATAACCAACTTCTTGCACACATCAAAGCTTCTAAAGTGGTCCAATGAAGTCGACTTCGATGAGGGCTTACGATATGACCACTTGTACTAAATGCGGATTCAGAAGCCACGGTAGAAACAGGAATTGTCAATACATCCCTTGCAATTTCTTGAAGTGTTGGATACTTAATCCCATTTAACTTCCACCATAATAAAATATCAAAATCTGGACTTCTTGGTAAAACTTCCTCTTCCAAATAAACATCCAACTTTGTTTTAACAGATGAAGTTCTAGCTCTTTTTTTTCTTATGACATACAAATCATAGTCTTTCAAACCATCATTACTAACATTTCCAACATTAGCATCCAACATTTCAGATTCACTTCTAGAATCCTTGTTCATTTTTAATTGATAATCATAAACTAACTCGTAACACAACTGTCTGATTGACTTAACTTGGGAATCAACATCATTCCCATAGAACACTCCATAATAATATTCAAGCAAATTAGTTTTATACCTAGGATCCAAAACATCAGCAACCCCCATTATTTCATGAATCACACTCCAATATTTTTCAAACTTTACCAACATATTTTCTGCCATTCTTTTTACCAATTCGTCAGAGGATTCAATCCACTCAAGTAATGAAACTTTAATCTGACAAATCTTAGGGAAGTATTCATTGGCAGTTGGATACTTAGTTCCAGAAAACACTTCAGTGATAGAATTGAACAATTTCAATTTTACACAAATCTCTTTTGCAAATTTCCAATGTAAAGTTGTTGGCAAACAAGTGTACTGAGTTACACGGATTGCTAATCTATCAAATACCTCTTCATACAAAATAGCAACATCAAGCATCTTATAGGTAGAATTCCATCTAGTTGGACAATCTAAAACTAAATTCTTGGTGCAAGGTATTTTTAATTGTTTACATGTCTCCTCAAACCGTTCCTTCCTTTTAGGAGTTGCTGTCCAAAATGCAACGCTATCTCGAATCATCTCTATTCCATCTTTCACAACTTCTAACCCTTCTTTTACTATCAAATTTAGTATATGTGCACAACAACGCATATGAAGTAAGGCCCCGTCCCTTAATAATGTCTCTGGTTTCAACTTAGCCTTAATTTTATCAATCATTGCATCATTTGTGCTACAATTGTCCAAAGTGATAGTAGACAATTTTGAATCAATGTTCCAATCCATCAAACATTCAACCAATGCACCACAAAGGTTTTCACTAGTATGAGGTGCAGGAACATAAATGAACCTAACATAATAAGATTCATAAAACTAGTATAAATGTGATTTACCTCAAAATGTGATTCACAAAACTATATATAATATGCAATTAATCTATTATTAGAAGAAATTATATTTACCTCAAAATGTGATTACAAAACTATATATAATATGCAATTAATGTATTATTCGAAGAAATTAGATTTACCTCAAAATGTGACTCTGTAAATTCCAGTTTCCATCAATGTAATGAGCAGTGACAACCATATATCCCTTTTTTTGATTGCTTGAGGTCCAAAGGTCAGAAGTAATAGCCACTCTTCCTTCAAGATTTTCTGACAACTTCAAAGTTGATGATCTCTCCATATTGTATACTTTGAGTATCTCCTTCTTTATAGTATTTCTACAAGGAACTTCAAATATTGGTTGGAGAGAAGTTGAGTATCTTCTAAAACCAATATGATCCACTATTGAAAGTGGATATTCATGCAAAATAATTGCATGTGCAAGCTCTTTCTTAGAATTTTCTGCATCATAAATTCCAGTACTCAACTCTTGTTTACCTTGCATGGATCTAGGCGTAAGAATTGTTTGTCCTTTATCAGATAGGTTCAAAATCTTCTTTTTAGGACAACATCCCAAATGTCCTTTTAAATGTGACGTCCCATCATTTGATGATCCATTAAGCTTCTTTGAGCAATAATTACATTGAGCCTTATCTTTTCCGTCAACTTTGACCTTTGTAAAATGATTCCATACAAAACTTTTCTGTCTCGATCGATGACTTGTGGTTGTTTGGCTATCAACCTCCATAATATCATTTGGCGTGGGAGGAGGAACATCAACTGATTGGTTACCACTTTCATTGGGAATTGGTTGATGTGTACTTTCTTGTGAGATAGGTGGACATCGTATTTGAGAGGTATCTTCATTTTCCATAACTAATTATCCTGTAAAATAATTAAGTTGTACATAAGAATAAGAATAAACTAGTATTCAAAATAAGAATAAGGATAAATTAGTACTAATAAATGAAATATATAATAAACTAGTATTAATAAATGAAATATATAATAAACTAGTATTAATAAAATGAATGAAAGTGAGTGCAGTTGGACGGTAAAACAAAATGGATTTTCTAATTTAATACTATTATAATAAGAGTACAAAATTGTTGAATGTAAAACAAAACAGGTTTACCTTGAATACACAGGTTTTAATGATACACTTCATGTTTCCATAGGAAAGCTTATCTCTTTAAGAACCCCATCAATTGAAACTTAGCTCTTTAAGAACCCTATTCAGAACCCTATCCACCAGGAAACCTAACACAACTCATACAGATAGACCTTCGACGTAACCTATATTATCCTTGGTAAATATTGACAGTGACACTGACATTCCATTATCTTTTGCAAATCTCACCAAACAAGAGATATTAGATGCTGGTAAATTAAAACCTAATAGGATGATAGAGTACATAGATGATAGATCTAACCTTTCAAATCCAGCGGCTGAGCAAAGGGGCTGGTGTGCGGCGAAGTCGATGGGATGATGTTGTGGTAGTGGTGATGGCAGCAACACCGTCGACCGTTGCAGACTTGCGGTGATTTTGCGTTGAGATTTGAGAGAAGAAGATGAGACTTGAGAAAATGCTTCTAAGAAGCTGAGAAAATAAAAGTAACATAAAAATAATTAAAACAAGGTTATTATAGTAATTGGATTATTCGGGGCGGGGCGGGTGCGGGTGCGGGCGGGTCTCAGTGTCTTACCGCCCCCGCCCCCGCACCCATAGTTAGAAACCGGGTTTTACCCGCCCCCGCACCCGTACCCGTTTTAGCCGGGTTTTCCCCGTTAATTTCGGGGCGGGTCCGGGCGGGGCCCAGCGGGTCTGGGTTTTTTTGCCATGCCTAATTAAGCTATTACATTCCGAGAAACATATACAATATTAAATAAAATGGGTCGCGTGCGAGAAATTAAATTGGGTGCAAGTTTTTAGGGTTTTGACCCTTTGATTATTAAAGAAAGATTTTTTTGGTTTATTTTTGAATTAAAAAGAAACTAAGCTAAGTTAATTATTAACTTAATAAATTAATTAATTAATTAATAAAAATAATATTTTTGGATTTTAGATATTTAAAGAAATAAAAATAAATTAATCAAAGTTAATAAAACCCTAATTGTCTAAGTTAATTTTAATTATTGCAAAATATATTAAGTTATTCCTAGGAAAAACTAAATTAATTAAATTAATATTTATTTACAAAATAAAATATTGAATTTTAATTTAGATAAGAAAATATTTTTTGGTTTTTAATTTTATTAAGAAAAAAGTTTTGATTGGTTAGTTAAATAATTAAAAATAATAATAATAAACAATTGAATAAAATAAAAAATGAAATTAGAAAGACTTAGGGGTATATGGGCCTGAAAGGAGGTTTACTCAGCAATTTTGGTGGCCCAATTTCGTTGGCCTTGACTGACTTTTCCTGATTCCAGCGTGGCACTTTGACTAGGGCATATGGTGGACATCACATCTGGACCACCAGATCTGGCCTGGGGCCATCTGGCGCTTTGAGATTTGAGGATACATGATAGGCTTCCAGCACTTGGTTTGTACCTGATTGCATGATAAAATAAGGGAAAATGTAAAGCGCTGGAGGCAGGGATCGAACCCCTGTCCTCCAGCCAACAACGCCTTGAGAGCACTCCCCCTGACCACTGGGTCACTTTGCTTCAATTGTTAATAAAACATAAGCGAAATATAATATATAAAACGCGTTAAAATTCCAGAAAATAAAAAAACAAAGCGCGCGAATTATGAATCATCCACTGGGGGAGGGCCACGTCTTCATCTTCTTCGTTCAACTCTGAACATTTACCTGCAGATTTATATCCGCAGCTAAATTCGCAGGACACTCCAAAAATTAAATCTAGGCCATGAAAACGACCCCCAAGACCATGGTTGTGTTCGTCTGGGCATCCTGAGCAAACCTATACCATTCTTGGACCTTGATTTTCCCTGAAAAAGAAAACCCTAAAATCTAATGCAAAACCCTAGCCACACGGTTATGGGGTTAGAGTCCAGATTAATGCAATCAAATAATGCCAAAAGTCCAGAAATCTTATAAGCATCATGAATATGTCAATGATTTGCCAAAAAATGCAAGAATATGGGGTTACGATTTCGAATACAGGGCGGTATTTTGAGAGACTTACAGAGCTTTAACACGTGTATGGGAGCTCACTTTTGATTGCAGTAGGTTCAGTGATTGTCCAGCAATGGATTAGTGTTGAGGTTTGCTCCTGAATTTGCCTCTAAGCTCGATTTCAGTTTTGCACTTTTTTGCAATTTTTTCAAGTTTTGTTCTTGATCATTCTGCAGCCTCTAGGTCTTGATATCGTGTGCTTTGGCTTGTATAAGTAGTATGAAATGCATTAGGTAAACAAATGTGGGCCGAATCCTTCCAAATCAATGCTTTGAGATTGGATTTGATCCTCCATTGAAAGCTTTCCAATTTTGTCCAAAATCCAATCTTTTTGCACATGGAATGCTTGATACGAATTTTATCATGATATTGATGATAATTAGGTCTTGTAAATAGAAATAAATCTCATGTAATCAAGTTTTGTGATTTTATTTGATTTAAATTGATTTAAAATGAAATAATTCAATAAAAAATCAAATGAAATAGAAAAATTGATAAATGGACACAAGGCTGAAGCTAGGACACGTGTGTAGTGTGACAAGATCAAATCAAGTGGAAAAGAATGGGACCATTTGATAAAATTTGAAGTTTTGGGGATAATTGACTTTTGGCAATTTTGCAAAAATGCCCAACTTCAACAATGCATAACTTCTTCAATTTTGAACTTTTGGAAGTCTACTTGGACTTTTTAGAAAGCTTGAGATGTCCTCTAACCAAACCTTTTGGTATCATCTCATTTTGATGTTCCATGCTCAAGTTATAAGCTTTGGAAAAAAAGGTGTGTTTGTTGACTTTCAAAAATGACCTATAATGTCCAAATTTATAACTTCTTGTGAGTGCATTTTCTGATCTTGCAGTATGAAGATGGATTGTAGGAAATTGCATCCTATTCAAAATGAGCTTTGGATGGGTCATTTCTCATAAAGTATGAGATAGTTATGCTTGGTCAAAGTTTAGTTGACTTTTCCTACAAAACCCTAATTTAGCAACTTTTGAGTCTTGATGAATTTTGAGCAATACTTGATGAATCATGATCAAACCTTGATAAAATGATGAAATATCCTTCAAAATGAGAATGTTGACAAAAAATCTTGAAGTTTGACTGTATTTGGGTCATAGTTGACTTTTGCCCTAGCACAGTCGATTTTTGGACCCTTTGAGCATTTGACTGAGCAAACTTCCTCTGCAAGGCTTGAAACTTGACATGGATGACCTTGAGAACATATTAGGACATTGGGGAGCACTTGAGGTCATTTGGACTCAAGGACCTTGATGCAACACAAAAACCTAATTTGGGATTGACTGCCTTAGGAGATGACTTGACTGTCAAACTCTTGAGCAATCTTGAGCAACTTGGAGATTTTTCTTGAAATGTCTTGGGAAATATGAGACGGAAAATTTTGGGGTACAACAGATATCCATTGCTAAAATAAACAGCGAGAACATGAGAGACCTGTACTGGAAGACCTGTTATGCAATAATATGTATGCAATGTTTTCAAGGATCTCGCGGGGTAAACAAGAAACTTTTAGAATTTGTTTGAAGAAACTTCGTGTCGTTAAGAGTCCTTCTTCAAGAGTCAATCTCACCATATCGAGTGGGTCATAGCCACTGACTCAAGTGATCATGTTTTGATCTCTAGACGACATTGGCTAGAGGAAAATAAATCCCCTTTGCCCCTTGCTAGATGTTTGATTTACCATAACCTGCATCATAAACCCTTGAGATCCTTGAAATGGTTAAGGAAATGTTAAGGCATGATGTTATGATGTGTATTCTATGCGTTTAAGCAAAAGTGCGAGGTGATGTAAACAAGTAAATCCGGCAAGAAATCCAAGTTATTGGATAAGAACCGTAAACAAAACCTGCAAGGAACTCATGTTGTCAGATAATAAAAATGTGCAAGTAGTTCAAGTTGAAAACACACGAGTCACACAAACAGCCTTAAATTTAGGCTTGCATGGGGTCTAGGTATTACCCTCTTGAAGTTTAGTTGGTTCAACCTATACTAACAATAGTAATTGGGTTCTAGAGGTTCTCAATATCACTGACCATCCT